AATAATAATATATATATATATATATATATATATATATATATATATCGAGACCGTCGTTTCGGCAAAAATCGACCTTTGGCACGGCACACCTCGAGAATAGGCGCTTCGTTGATCGAAAGATTAGTGTTGATCTTTTGATACGATAGAGGCGGGCTTGATGTGATGGCGGGTGGGTTGAAAGGGTGATTCGATGAGGCAGTTTAGATAGCCGGACTTACGGCGTCTAGACACGGCGAGAGAAAATATGCGAGAGGAATGACGACGAAAGGCGAAAGGTGCGGGATGTTGTATTCGCAATAAAGAGGCACTCTCGCATCGGTTAAATTGCACTTTGTGGTCGTGCGAGCGAGTGCACGGTCACTTAACATTCTAAAATACTCGCTAGTTTCTTTCTCACATTTCGCCCGACCGGGCAGATTATCGCAATGCAGTTTAATTGTAATCATTTTTATGATTGAGAACAAAAGAATTTAGCAACGTGAATACAAGATATGTGCAATAGAATAAAGAGGCAGTAAATTGTTTTATTTTAGATGAAAAGAATTTATCATTCGCGAGAGATTTTTCTATTTCATAAAAATTGTATCAAGAACAATATGTTGTAGGAAGTAACAGTCGTCTTATTCCCACGTTTTCATATTTTTATCAGTCTTTTCTCTTTTCCCTTGCGTCTTGCAATCGATGATGCGAATAGAGATGAACGTAAGTAAATATTTGAACGCAAGTGTGCGCCATGTTCGTAAAATATATATTTTTCTTTTTTAAGTAAAAGCTCCATCCCGACAAGGTCAATAACACTGCAAAAGACCGCGATTGCCTTTTACTTAAGTTCTCGTATTTCTATCCTCTACGTTTTACTTCTCGTCATCATCTAAACGGAAGGAATGCGGACGAAGTAATTTCGATGCGTCGAGTCGACTAATTGCGTTTCTTCGGACCCTTCGTAGTTTTTTGTCGGCGCACTTGACGTCGACGAAGAACTTGCGATGGACGAATCGATTTCGTGGGACAGTAATTTTTTGTCATTAGCTATCGGAACGGAGTATGATGAATTGCGACCGACGAATGATGGATGCGACTATTGTTTTTCCTTTTTCTTCATGACCGCTTCGTCTTTGTCCCTTTTTCTTGCGTCTTTCATCAAGATACTCGGACAACGGAGATCTTTAATTATCTCCGAAAGTTGGCCGCTATGATGAGTAATTGAAAGGATCACGAAGGAATGGACCGCCGTGTAAGATGAATAATTACGAGATTTGCGAGATTCGCAAAGTGAAACTCGAGATTTGAGAAATTCTCATTTTACGGGAAAAGCACTTTTTCCTAGAACGAGCGTACTCTATTGTAAACAGACTTAATTTTGTATTTTATTCTTTGTCTACAATAAGATATCTTAAAGATTATGTCAATTTTAGAAATCCTCCAAGCGTTGAGAATATAAAATGAAACAGATTCAATTTCTTAAGAAGAATATACGGAAAATCAAAGCATTCGCACACAGTTGATTATTTGTTGTTAATTTAAATTTCGAGTACTTTGTCTAAATTACATGAGTAATTAATTTCTTTAAAAACAAAATTTATTGGTATGTACATGTATATCAATAATTTAAACGGAATGTATTTTTTGGCTATTCAAATATTTAAAATAAAGATCTATTTCGTAATTCTAATGTATCTTTATAATACTACAAAAGCTATATAATAATTAATAATTTTTCTTAACGTCGTAAAAGTAAAAAAAGTAACGTCGTGTAATAGTTCCACTCGTATCCTCATATTTTAATTCTCTTGTAAAAGCTGCTGCCGCATGTCGTTCGCACGGAATGCAGTATTCGAAAATCGATAACATTCTGAAAATCTAACAGCTGTCCAACTCTCGCGACATTCACGCGGGAGTCTCTTGAGTGGACGACGCACAGGCCGTGCAAAGTGGTTTGCATATTAGCCAGCGCATAAATTCCATGTGTTTGCAACCGAATGAAATCATAATTTGCATAATACCATCCGGCAAACGCCCCTGTTTCTGCAAGCGTGAACCCGAGCTTTCATAACTGCGTTTTGTGCTTTCGTTTGGCTGCACGGGCGACCCAAAATACGAACCTTTCCAGCTCTGATTTAATCCAGGCGTGAAGTGCAGAAAATAAATGGTCGTTTCTGGAAATGAGTAAAATAGTGTTGCGGTACCAA